TGCTACGGAAATGCTACGGTAAAGGTACGGAAGTACTACGGAAATGCTACGCAAATGATACGCAAGTGCTACGCAAACGGTACGGAAATGCTACGCAAACGGTACGCTGAAAGTGGAACAGCGAACGTGTACGGGTCTGTATATTGAAAAAAAGTTTTGAACTTTTTTTTAAACTTTTGTAGGTCTAAAACTGTTATCTGACAGACGAAAATAAAAAAACTTCCAAAGCTATAATAGACAAAAAAACAAACCTTTCGTCATTCTATTACCGAAAACTACTTAAGAAAATACCAGTTTAGTGTGAAAATAGCGACAGCATACTGGAGTGTGAACAGAGTCGTAATTCCAACTCAAAATCGATGTACGTAACTAAGGCTAATACCAACGACGGAAAGATACTGTACGGATGTACCACGGAAAAGTCAAAGGGGGGGGGGGGGGGGGGGGGGAAGGAAACAAATACCACGGAAAAGAACAAGGGGAAGAAGGAAACAAATACCACGGAAAAGTACAAGGGGAGGAAGGAAACAAATACCAAGGAAAAATACAAGGGAAGGAAGGAAACAAATACCACGGAAAAGTACAAGGGGAGGGGAAGGAAACAAATACCACGGAAAAGTACAAGGGGAGGGGAATGAAACAAATACTATGGAAAAGTACAAGGGAAGGAAGGAAACAAATACCTAGTAAAAGTACAAGGGAAGAAAGGAAACAAAAACCACGGAAAAGTACAAGGGGATGAAGGAAACAAATACCACGGAAAAGTACAAGGGAGGGAAGCAAACAAATACCACGGAAAAGTACAAGGGAAGGAAGGAAACAAATACCACGGAAAAGTACAAGGGAAGGAAGGAAACAAATACCACGGAAAAGTACAAGGGAAGGAAGGAAACAAATACCACGGAAAAGTACAAGGGAAGGAAGGAAACAAATACCACGGAAAAGTACAAGGGGAGGAAGGAAACAAATACCACGGAAAAGTACAAGGGAAGAAAGGAAACAAATACCACGGAAAAGTACAAGGGAAGGAAGGAAACAAATACCACGGAAAAGTACAAGGGAAGGAAGGAAACAAATACCACGGAAAAGTACAAGGGAAGGAAGGAAACAAATACCACGGAAAAGTACAAGGGAAGGAAGGAAACAAATACCACGGAAAAGTACAAGGGAAGGAAGGAAACAAATACCACGGAAAAGTACAAGGGAAGGAAGGAAACAAATACCACGGAAAAGTACAAGGGAAGGAAGGAAACAAATACCACGGAAAAGTACAAGGGAAGGAAGGAAACAAATACCACGGAAAAGTACAAGGGAAGGAAGGAAACAAATACCACGGAAAAGTACAAGGGAAGGAAGGAAACAAATACCACGGAAAAGTACAAGGGAAGGAAGGAAACAAATACCACGGAAAAGTACAAGGGAAGGAAGGAAACAAATACCACGGAAAAGTACAAGGGAAGGAAGGAAACAAATACCACGGAAAAGTACAAGGGGAGGAAGGAAACAAATACCACGGAAAAGTACAAGGGAAGAAAGGAAACAAATACCACGGAAAAGTACAAGGGAAGGAAGGAAACAAATACCACGGAAAAGTACAAGGGAAGGAAGGAAACAAATACCACGGAAAAGTACAAGGGAAGGAAGGAAACAAATACCACGGAAAAGTACAAGGGAAGGAAGGAAACAAATACCACGGAAAAGTACAAGGGAAGGAAGGAAACAAATACCACGGAAAAGTACAAGGGAAGGAAGGAAACAAATACCACGGAAAAGTACAAGGGAAGGAAGGAAACAAATACCACGGAAAAGTACAAGGGAAGGAAGGAAACAAATACCACGGAAAAGTACAAGGGAAGGAAGGAAACAAATACCACGGAAAAGTACAAGGGAAGGAAGGAAACAAATACCACGGAAAAGTACAAGGGAAGGAAGGAAACAAATACCACGGAAAAGTACAAGGGAAGGAAGGAAACAAATACCACGGAAAAGTACAAGGGAAGGAAGGAAACAAATACCACGGAAAAGTACAAGGGAAGGAAGGAAACAAATACCACGGAAAAGTACAAGGGAAGGAAGGAAACAAATACCACGGAAAAGTACAAGGGAAGGAAGGAAACAAATACCACGGAAAAGTACAAGGGAAGGAAGGAAACAAATACCACGGAAAAGTACAAGGGAAGGAAGGAAACAAATACCACGGAAAAGTACAAGGGAAGGAAGGAAACAAATACCACGGAAAAGTACAAGGGAAGGAAGGAAACAAATACCACGGAAAAGTACAAGGGAAGGAAGGAAACAAATACCACGGAAAAGTACAAGGGAAGGAAGGAAACAAATACCACGGAAAAGTACAAGGGAAGGAAGGAAACAAATACCACGGAAAAGTACAAGGGGAGGAAGGAAACAAATACCACGGAAAAGTACAAGGGGAGGAAGGAAACAAATACCACGGAAAAGTACAAGGGAAGGAAGGAAACAAATACCACGGAAAAGTACAAGGGAAGGAAGGAAACAAATACCACGGAAAAGTACAAGGGGAGGAAGGAAACAAATACCACGGAAAAGTACAAGGGAAGGAAGGAAACAAATACCACGGAAAAGTACAAGGGAAGGAAGGAAACAAATACCACGGAAAAGTACAAGGGAAGGAAGGAAACAAATACCACGGAAAAGTACAAGGGAAGGAAGGAAACAAATACCACGGAAAAGTACAAGGGAAGGAAGGAAACAAATACCACGGAAAAGTACAAGGGAAGGAAGGAAACAAATACCACGGAAAAGTACAAGGGAAGGAAGGAAACAAATACCACGGAAAAGTACAAGGGGAGGAAGGAAACAAATACCACGGAAAAGTACAAGGGAAGGAAGGAAACAAAACCCACGGAAAAGTACAAGGGAAGGAAGGAAACAAATACCACGGAAAAGTACAAGGGGAGAAAGAAAACAAATACCACGGAAAAGTACAAGGGAAGGAAGGAAACAAAACCCACGGAAAAGTACACGGGAAGGAAGGAAACAAATAGCACGGAAAAGTACAAGGGAAGGAAAGAAACAAATACCACAGAAAAATACAAGGGAAGGAAAGAAACAAATACCACGGAAAAGTGCAAGGAGAGGAAGGAAACAAATACCAAGGAAAAGTTCAAGGGAAGGAAGGAAACAAATACCACGGAAAAGTACAAGGGAAGGAAGGAAACAAATACCACGGAAAAGTACAAAGGGAGGGTAGAAAAAAATGCCACGGAAAATTACAAGGGAGGGAAGGAAACAAATACCGAGGAAAAGTACAAGGGAAGGAAGGAAACAAATACCACGGAAAAGTACAAGGGAAGGAAGGAAACAAATAGCACGGAAAAGTACAAGGGAAGGAAAGAAACAAATACCACGGAAAAGTACAAGGGGAGAGGGAAACAAAAACCACGGAAAAGTACAAGGGAAGGAAGGAAACAAATACTACGGAAAAGTCCAAGGGAAGGAAGGAAACAAATACCACGGAAAGGTACAAGGGAAGGAAGGAAACAAAAACCACGGAAAAGTCCAAGGGAATGAAGGAAACAAATACCACGGTAAAGTACAAGGGAAGGAAGGAAACAAATACCACGGGAAAGTACAAGGGGAGGAAGGAAACAAATACCACGGGAAAGTACAAGGGGAGGAAGGAAACAAATACCACGGAAAAGTACAAGGGAAGGAGGAAACAAATACCACGGAAAAGTCCAAGCGGAGGAAGGAAACAAATACCACGGTAAAGTACAAGGGGAGGAAGGAAACAAATACCACGGAAAAGTACAGAGGGGAGGTAGGAAACAAATACCACGGTAAAGTACAAGGGGAGGAAGGAAACAAATACCACGGAAAAGTACAAGAGAAGAAAGGAAACAAATACCACAGAAAAATACAAGGGGAGGAAGGAAACAAATACCACGGAAAAGTACAAGGGAAGGAAGGAAACAAATACCACGGAAAAGTACAAGGGAAGGAGGGAAACACATACCACGGAAAAGTACAGAGGGGAGGTAGGAAACACATATCACGGAAAAGTACATAGGGGAGGTAGGAAACGAATACCACAGAAAAGTACAAGGGAAGGAAGGAAACACATACCACGGAAAAGCACAAGGGAAGGAAGGAAACAAATACCACGGAAAAGTCAAAGGGAGGAAGGAAACAAATACCACGGAAAAGTACAAGGGAAGGAAAGAAACAAATACCACGGAAAAGTGCAAGGAGAGGAAGGAAACAAATACCACGGAAAAGTACAAGGGGAGGAAGGAAACAAATACCACGGAAAAGTACAAGGGGAGGAAGGAAACAAATACCACAGAAAAGTACAAGGGAAGCAAGGAAACACAAAATAAGTGATAACGTTATGTTTGGAAACACTCAGTACAAACTGACATGATTTTAATAAATCTTAAAACTTATAAATGGGCGATAGAACCATGTTGATAAAAAAGGTTATGAGGAAAAATAATAAATACTAAATATCGTTATCTAACTGCAGCACATTATAAGAGACCCCCGCTGATTTAGCTAATAATTTAATAGGTTTAGACATATTGAATATCTATTCGGACTACAGAGGTTTTCCAGTTATTAGTGGAGGGCATATTAAAGATATTTCCCGTTGCACGAGCGACATTTTAATTAATATTTAATATATGTCCGGATTGCAGAGGTTTTCTAATTATTCAGTAAGGGAAACTTAGATAAGGCCCAGTTACATGGGCTGTTGAATATTTAATTATCAAGCATCTCCGAATTGTGGAGGTTTTCCAATGATTCATATAAGGCAAATAAGTGAAGGTTTAATTACCATATATCTACGGATTGTGGAGGTTTTCAAATTATTCAAAAAGGCCATATCAGGAAGGCTCCTTTTGTATAGTGTAGAGTATATTTATTTTTATATAACCGGTCGGCAGATGTTTCCGAACTATCCAATTAAAGTCATTAACAAACAAAAACGAGTAGGAATGAATAAAAATAAAATTGCTTACCTGCGGAACACTAAACAAGGCACTTAGGAGCCAAGACACCCCAATCATGAATCTGACTCTCTGAGGCGCTTTATTTCTGCTGATGGGATCAAGGATTACACAACAGCGATCCAAACTTATCACAACTGTTATATAAGTAGATAATAAAAACCCAAATACTTGAATGTACCGCAAAATCTTACACATGGCGTTTCCCGCCAAAAACTGAATAGTGACCGTCCAGAAAGCTTCGGCGGCCATGCAAAAGAAGGCAACGATTAAATCAGCAATGGCCAGATTCACAATAAGAGTGTTGATTGTCGAACGTCGTTTCCTCATACGGTACATTTGAATCAAAGTGGCGGTATTTCCGATGAAGGAAATTAGAAAAAGAGCAGAAAGAACAATGGTTTCAACCATATAGGCGTCGTTGAATACAGGTGGGGAAGTGGACGTCGTTTGACTGATACCCGCTCTGTTTGTTGTATCATCAAATTCAGAATAATTAAAAAATGTAGACAACGACGAATTTTTCCCACCATTTGACACATCGTGAAATTTCAACATTGGTATATCCGGAGTAGTGATGTTGTTCAAAACATTATCCGCAAATCGAACCGATATGGCTGTCGTTTTTGAATGATCAGTATTCATTCTTTAATTTCGTCCAGCATCGTAGTTTCTAACCAGTAAAATGAAATTTGTATCAAAAACACTTGACAAAAGGTCCTAGTATCCGTTTCTAACGAATATTCGTTATTACACTACTGATACAAAACACGACTGAAAGTGGTACCTGTGCTTGATGTAAATCATCGAAAATTACCATCCACCTTTTCCAATTCACAGATAGCATCAATCGGTTTGAGCCACACACAGCAGTCGTAGCGACGTATCAGTAGTTGTACGTGTATTAGAACCGACGAACAGTTGGTGGAGGCGGACCAGCTTGAGGTGGTGATAAGGCGGACAAACCGGGGCCCAGCGTAAGCCGCTAGCGCTCAGTACTATACTGAACAGTTGCGGCCGGTGTCCACGTAGTAGTCTTCACAGCTGAGCTGATTGGTGCTTAGTATATCGTACCTACAGCTTCATTAGTGACATGCACGTACACCTTTATTCTAAGGTGAGTGTCTCGCAGGCAACAATAACCGTGTAGATTTATAATTCTATGTATCGGCCCTATTTACTATTTCAATGAATGCTATAACGGTACATTATGTATGTCCATTGTAAGCGCACGAACACATGTGCACAGTAATTCTAATTCCTATTTGACGTTTTTATAGCACTGTATCTCTCTAAGCCTAATTAGATTATCGGTGATATGAACTATAGCCCATTTCGTGATTTGTTTCTACCTAGATCTACCTGGGCTTCGCCAAAATCTAATTGGTAATGTTACTATAAAATACATGTAAACCTAAGACTAGTGGCATTTCTGAAAAGAGCCGTGTATAACATATATGGAGCATTTAAGGGTTAACTATTAGAACTTTAGCAAATTGCCACAAGTTGACAAGTTTGTGCTTTTTATGGACCAACTTACAATAATACATTTACAAGGAAAGCGAAATTGAATAATTAACTGTCTATACCTTATGCTTCGATGTTCAGAGAAAGAATCTCACAGATCTAAAGTGACTTATAGAAATCAATACTCATGCATATGCAAATAAGCGGCTCCTTTTACAGAGAAAACAATCGTTACTTTCCATTATCGCTGAAACAAGGCCAAACAACAATTACATAAGTGCTTACTCCTTCATTTTGAAGGCCAGAGAAGATAATTAAAATGTTTCTTGCCTGTGATTGGTTCAAGTTCGATGTCTAATTCTATGGTTCTTGATCCTTTTGATGCAAATTCATGCATACCAGGGTTAATGGTATCACACTGGCGTAGAACAAGCTGGCTGACAAGGCCGTATTCTTACAAGGCGTTTTGATCATCAGGAAATGAGATTGCGTTTTTGAGGTGACCCATAAGTGACCCGATCAATTGGGGATACCGTCTTTATATACGCTAAGCTATTATAAGAATGCAAAACCCTGAACAAAGCAACAAATTTACAAACACATTCCTGTTATCTCGATTTGCGGCATTTGTAATGAAGCGTCAAGTGTCCAAGGGCGCACTGAGCTCTGATTAAATGAATGTCAGCGCATTAAATAGCAACGCGGAACATGACTCGATGACATAGCTTTCTGCTTTCTCTATCTTTAATTTGCATGATAATTAAACATTTATTTTGAGAGTTCACCAATTCCATCGTTTTTGAGCAATTGATCGTCTTCATTCCAGACTTGTTTTACTTTACTTCATGTAATTTGCGAGTATTTCTCGGGGAAGAAGGTTGCAGAAATGAGCATATCGTTTACTTTGGGTGCGGTAATATCTGTACTCGACTTGTCGGCCTATTGCAGTTGTAAAGTGTGAGAGGGCTGCATAGGTCATATATTAAAACATAACATATATATATTTCATTTAAAACAATATAACAGAATTTCATGTCTTTAAGAAAAGTTCGGTTTGGTTTGTTGGTGTTTTACGTTCTATTAACAGCTAAGGTCATTTTAGGACGTGCCAGGGTTTGGTGATGGAGGAAAGCCGGACTTCCCTGAGAAAAACCACCGACCTACGGCCAATACCTGGCGACTGCCCCGCGTAGGTCTCGAGCCACCGACCCAGTGCTGGAGGGCTAGTAGTAGCAGAATGTCAGACGCCTTAACCACTTGGCCGTCGCGGCCCCTACCTTAAATAAAAGAACGAAAGTCGGTATTTTTAGTCTTGGGATGCTATGGAGCCTGCTTATAAGCTTATGTACCAGTTCTAGAGATCGATGTATACCAGTTCTAGAGATCGATGTGTACCAGTTCTAGAGATCGATGTATACCAGTTCTAGAGATCGATGTATACCAGTTCTAGAGATCGATGTGTACCAGTTCTAGAGATCGATGTATACCAGTTCTAGAGATCGATGTATACCAGTTCTAGAGATCGATGTGGAACTTACCATACATTTTGTGAACTGCCCTGTAAATGGTTGATGGAAGTACTTGACAAAAAAATGAGTCTCGTCACCAGTCCTATGAATGGAAAATGACCAGAGTCACTGTACGAAACGCAACTAGTTCTTTAAGACTAATTGGTCGTTTGTACGAACAGACAAGGAATTTTAACAAGTCCAGTGGGTTTTTTTTTATTAGGAAACCGTACGAAGAAATTATTGTAAACGGTACAAGCAGTGACTGGTGTATTTTTTAACATGCTAGAACAGACAAAACATTATGACCGGTTCCTTGGGAGATTTAGGGGTCGCTGTACGTACGGACAAATATGTGTGGTCATTGTACGTACAGAAAAATATGTGTGGTCACTGTACATACAGACAAAACTTTGTGGTCACTGGACGTACCGACAAATATTTGTGGTCATTGCATGTACAGAGAAATAAGTGTGGTCACTGGACATATAGACAAACCATTGTGATCACTGTACAAACAGACAAACCAGTGTGGTCACTGTACATACATACAGACCTTTGTGGTCACTGGACATACAGACAAAGCTTTGTGGTAACTTTACATATAGACAAAGCTTTGTGGTAACTTTACATATAGACAAACCATTGTGGTCACTGGACATACAGAAAGCCATTGTCGTCACTGTACATACAGACAAACCAGTGTGGTCACTGGACGTACAGACAAACCTTTGTGGTCACTGCTCATACAGACAAACCTTTGTGATCACTGGACGAACACACAAACCAGTGTGGTCACTATACATACAGACTAACCTTTGTGGTCACTGGACGTACAGAAAAACCTTTGTGGTCACTATACATACAGACACACCTTTGTGATCACTGTACATACAGACAAACCTTTGTGGTCACTGGACGAACACACAAACCTTTGTCATCACTGTACATACAGACAAACCTTTGTGGTCACTGTACATACAGACAAATATTTGTGGTCACTGTACATAGAAACAAACCATTGTGATCACTGTACATACAGACAAACCTTTGTCATCACTGTACATACAGACAAACCTTTGTGATCACTGGACATATAGACAAACCTTTTGGGGTCACTGTACATACAGACTAACCTTTGTGGTCACTGGACGTACAGAAAAACCTTTGTGGTCACTGGACATACAGACACACCTTTGTGATCACTGTACATACAGACAAACCTTTGTGGTCACTGTACATACAGACAAACCTTTGTGGTCACTGTACATACAGACAAACCTTTGTGGTCACTGGACGAACACACAAACCTTTGTCATCACTGTACATACAGACAAACCTTTGTGGTCACTGTACATACAGACAAATATTTGTGGTCACTGTACATAGAAACAAACCATTGTGATCACTGTACATACAGACAAACCTTTGTCATCACTGTACATACAGACAAACCTTTGTGATCACTGGACATATAGACAAACCTTTTGGGGTCACTGTACATACAGACTAACCTTTGTGGTCACTGGACGTACAGAAAAACCTTTGTGGTCACTGGACATACAGACACACCTTTGTGATCACTGTACATACAGACAAACCTTTGTGGTCACTGTACATACAGACAAACCTTTTTGGTCACTGTACATACAGACAAACCTTTGTGGTCACTGGACGAACACACAAACCTTTGTCATCACTGTACATACAGACAAACCTTTGTGGTCACTGTACATACAGACAAATATTTGTGGTCACTGTACATAGAAACAAACCATTGTGATCACTGTACATACAGACAAACCTTTGTCATCACTGTACATACAGACAAACCTTTGTGATCACTGGACATATAGACAAACCTTTTGGGGTCACTGTACATACAGACTAACCTTTGTGGTCACTGGACGTACAGAAAAACCTTTGTGGTCACTGGACATACAGACACACCTTTGTGATCACTGTACATACAGACAAACCTTTGTGGTCACTGTACATACAGACAAACCTTTTTGGTCACTGTACATACAGACAAAGCTTTGTGGTCACAGTACATACCGACAAACCTTTATGGTCACAGTACATACCGACAAACCTTTGTGGTCACAGTCCATACAGACAAATATTTGTGGTCACTGTACACACAGACAAACCATTGTGATCACTGGACGTACAGACAGATATTTGTGGTCACTGTACAAACAGACAAACCTTTTTGGTCACTGTACATACAGACAAACCTTTGTGGTCACAGTACATACCGACAAACCTTTGTGGTCACAGTAAATACCGACAAACCTTTGTGGTCACTGTACATACAGACAAATATTTGTGGTCACTGTACATACAGACAAACCATTGTGATCACTGGACGTACAGACAGATATTTGTGGTCACTGTACAAACAGAATATTTGTGGTCACTGTACATACAGACTAACTTTTGTGGTCACTATACATACCGACAAATCATTGTTGTCATTGGACGTACAGACAAACCTTTGTGGTCACTTTACATACAGACAAACCTTTGTGGTCACTGTACATACAGACAAACCTTTGTGGTCACTGTACATACAGACTAACTTTTCTGGTCACTGTACATACAGACAAAGCTGTGTTGTCTCTGGACATATAGACAAAGCTTTGTAATACATACAGACAAGGTTTTGTGGTAACCGGGCATACAGACAAAGTCAGGTGGCTACCGGACGTACCGATCAAGCTTTGTGATCACTGGACGTACAGACGAATACGTATTTATATGTGTTGTCACTGGACTTACAGACAAAGGGTTTTGGTTACTGGACGTACCAACAAAGCTTTGTGACTGGATGTATGAGTTTATGACTGATGGGCTACCGTCAGAACAAAGCTTATAAATGAATGGTCGGTCATTGTTCAAACAGACGATTATACAACTTATGTTCGTGCTATTGTACCGATGCGGACGAAGAGACAATGTCCCTGTCACTAACAGTAATTGATTTGTTCTATATTAATTTCAATAACATAGCAACACTAAGTATTATGGGATCCATCTGTCATCGTTTAAATAGCATGGTTAACTTGATTTTGGGTCACATATATCGGATATATTTGTAATACATGTTCATTGGTTAAGCTGACAATATATAATCATT